AATAGATAAAATGCCAGCTAAAAGGATTAAATACTCATCTTCAATTCTTAAAAACTTCAGCAATTTTCCTTTTCTATGCAAAACCAATTCTGAGAAAACTACTTCAAGGAATGATATTGATTTATTCTACAATAAAAAGAATAAAACAGGCACGGAAATTTTTAAACACCGCAAACGAGATACGTGGTTTAGAAGTTTAGCCGTCAGTATGGTTTACATTGTAAACAAGGGAGGTTTCAGTAGAATCTTAAAATAGTATCAATATTTCCCCACAAATTGTATAGGTGTACGGTCAATAATTGAGAATAAGCCTTTTTTAAAATTACACATTTTTCTCAGAAAATCTGTATTTCATCATAAGAAATTTGGCAACGTTAAATTATCCATAAGCTGTTATTTTGTAGCATGGCTGCCTGTGATATATTGAAAGAGATACAGAGCCTAGAAAGTGCGATTCATAAAAGTTGTAGAATACATATAGAAACAGTGTGCACAAATTCAGGATTGGAGCGCCTTCAATTGAAGTGATACTTCCAGCATTGCCGTCAAGTTAGTTTAGTTGCGTGACCTAATTTAACCCAACCTGACTCAGTTGTGATCGGTTTTCGAGTTGTGTGACCGATTAGAATAGTAAAACCCGGGGACATTCAATTACAGCAAAGACGAAATTTGACAAAATGTTCCGAAATTGCCTTTTATGTATTGTTTTTTGCAAGGAAAATGATGAAACTGTTTTTCTTGAAGTTCTCCAGGAATATTTGTCGCTTTGTAGGTTTTGTAAGAGAATCCTATCTCGGCTCCTGTCCAATCGATTTTTGTGAAACTTCGAAGAGTGTTTTTAGACGGGAAACTCAAATTTTTAAAGACATTATCAAAATTTGTAAGTCCAAAATAGCAGACTTAGCCGAAAATGCTCTCTTAGCCACTGTTCAATCGATTTAAGTCATCTCCCTGTCTTCGATAAATTCTTTTGAATCTTTTGAGAAATTTGTTATTTTTTCTTCGCTTTGTAAGAACAAAAAAACATATGTATCATTCTGATGATAAATTTATAATTTTTGATCGATCGATACAGATTTTTAAAATTAATAGACAAAGAAGACAAAAGATATTACACTGTCGTGCTAAGGAAAAACGTCTAATGAGCCCTTAGGCGTTGCCAAATTTATTTCGACACATCAATAATTTTCAAGAAAATTTGTGAATATTTTTTTCCACTTTCTTAGGTCATTTTGCATGTAATTTGATCGAAAAAGTCTGAAAATTCCACGTGAAAATATTAATAATTTTCCACAAAAATAAACATTTTATCAGAGAAAATTTGGCAACTTTCGAATGTTTATACGGCGTTCCTCCTTAGCGCGGCAGTGCTCTTCTCCTTTGACGATTGCAACCACTCGCTCCCATCTATAGGGTCGCTTCATTTTCTCTTCATCTTCTTTGTTTGTTGCTTTGTCTATTGCTTTGTCTGTTGCTTTGTCTATTACTTTGTCTATTAATTTCAATAATCAGCCCGCTAATTACCACAGGAGTAGTCTTCATCCTTGTTTCACCGTGGGGCAACACGTAGAGTAAGCGATGGCAATTTGCTGGCTGTTTCGTCAACTTACAGAGGCGTAAAGCGCGTTAACAGAACTGTTATTTCCTTGCGACTGCAGTAAACATGGCCTGCTCTGCTTTCCGTTTACTCGGTGGCAACGACTGGAACCGGGTCTTTCCGGGGACCGTAAAAGTGTTGGCGTCTGGAAATAACTTAGTGTGTCATCGCTGTTTTTCTCATTATGTTTCCGTTGATCGAATTTATCCGAAGCGCGAAGATGGAGTAGTGAGAGAAGGCGGGGAGCGATCCGATGACACCGTCGGTAATTGAAACGCGCGTAACGACGCGACGGATCAACTCAAGGGGCAACCAGATGAGCGTTAACTTATTGTCGGGACAAAGAGCTCCCACGCTCCCAAATTAGCCGGAAAATAGGGAATAAAACTTCAACGGGAAGGATCTGAGTATCGTAAAACTCGAAATCGAGATTTCGCCGTAGTGCTAGCGAGCTGATTATTGAAATTAATGGACAAAAGCTATGACAAACGTCCACAGGGGGAAGAACCAGCAGGCTGATTATTGAGATTGATGGACAAAAGCGATCGACAAACCTACACAATGGGAAGGACTTGAGACCGTAAAACTTGAAATTGGGATGGAATGTAAGGAATGTGGAACGTGGGATGGAAAATTGGAATGTTAAGGTGCTCAATACCCCCAGGTTTGTGGTTCGACAGGGAGTAGCGGAAGTTGGGAGTCGTAGAGCGCAAGGTGCTATAGAGCGACCTACATGTGTGTATGGAAAAAAGCGATGGACAAACGCCCACTGGGAGAAGGACCTGGGCACCGTAAAACTCAAAATTGAGATTTTGCCATCATGCTAGCTGTCTTAATATTGAAATTGATGGATGAAAGCGATAGACAAACCTTCACAATGGGAAGGACCTGAGGCCGTGAAACTCAAAATAGGGATACTGCCATGAGCCAGCTGGCTGATTATTGAAATTGATGCACAAAAGCAATAGGCACAAGTCCACAAGGATCTGGACGCCGTAAAATTCAAAATTGAGATTTGGCTATGATGCTAGCGGGCTGATTCTTGACACTTAAAGTTATAGACAAACGTCCACAGGGGGAAAGACCTATAGCTGAGGACCATAAAACTCAAAATCAGGATTCTGTCATGATGCCAGCGGACTAGTTGTTGAAATTGATGGAGAAATGCGATAGACAAAGAAAACCAAGGGAAAATAATGAAGCGATCCTATTCGTTGAAACGGGAGATTATTATAGATTTATGATCGTATTTATAGTCGTTCCTTAAACTGTTCCTTTCTTTAGGAGGCCCAATCTGATTCACGCCTTAAAAAAGGGAGGTTTAAAGTAGCCCTCAAAATAGCATCAGTAAAAGAACATTTTCTCTCAACTTCAGGTAAAATTCAGCAGTGAAACGTTGGAAATAGAATCTTGCAAGGATTACAATGATTTGCCACCACCAAAGACAGTTTTTCTTCATCCTCTCTGTCTACCGCTTTGTCTATGTATTTAAATTATCACGCCCCTGGTGTTGATATCAGAACACATTTTTCCGGGCAATATATAAATTCCTCGCTGAGTATGTCGAGAATACAAATGACTCAATTTTTCTAAAATTGTGGGTTACGTTTATTCGGCTCCTAACCGTACAAATATGAGAACGCCAAGTTTTCTTTGCGCGAAGAAAAAAAAACGGATGATTTTCGGCTAAAAGTGGCGACGACTCCGAAACGATGAGGCTCGAAATGTTTACGGAACATTAAAAATGCCTCGAAGCCAAGAGCCCCTCCCCCTCCCCCTTCGAGCCCCGGCTGGTTACGCTCGAGCACGCCAATTAAACAATTAAAAACACGCAGAGGAATCGAGTGATTAAATTTACAAACCGAGGAAAAAAAGAAAAAAGAGCGCTCCTGGTTTGATCTGTTTCCCTGTTTACTCCAATTACCCGCGCTCTCGCCTCTTCGGCCGAGCGCCCCCATCCCCCCACCCCCGCCCCCTCGCCGGCGGAACTTTAAACAACTTGAGGGCCCCGCCGAACAACAACGTACAACTCCGGGAAGGATTTAATTGGCCCAACTTTTGCCGATCGACTTGATACTTAATGCCCGATGCTTTGTTGGATTGACGGAACTTTTCCTTTTATACTTTGTGCTTCTCCCTTTTGTTCCCGCGCGGCTCACCGGTGCATGATGGTGGCGACTCCGATTCCAACGGGGAGAATAAAAATTCACCTTACGCTCGGATCGTTTCTCGAGATTCCAACACTCGGATAACTATTGGAGCGTGAGCATTGGTAACGAGTTCCAGCACCAATCACCGATCACCGATCACCGATCACGGGCACCGATCGCAATTGGAACTACTTACTCTGGCTCATTACCGAAACAACGTATGGTCGTATTTCTGCCAAACGGAACTATGTGCATAATGACGTGAGCCCTGTCATGCATATATTCTTACGGTTCTCAGGGCTCATGTCTTTATGCACATAGTTCCGTTTGGCAGAAATACGTCCATATGGGTCTTTAGGGTCTCGTCTCTATGCAGGTAAGCGCTCTTTTGAATGAGCTGTAAATGGTGGTTTTTCATTGCAAGATGAAGTCAAACAGGACGAATTTAAATCAAAAGGAACTACGCCCATTCTGACTTGAGCCCAGAGATCCATTTAAAAACATTAATGGAGGAGCTCAAACCACGATGGATTTGATTTTGCTTTAAGAGCGTTCAGCGTCCAATTGAATCGGCGTACATGCAAAAACGTCCGACGTCCAATACAGTGTTTCAGAATTTGAGTGGACGATTTCGTTTTAACTTAAAGACGCAAGATGGTTTCAGACATTAGGAATGTAGAACAATTATATAAATAGACCCTTTATAAATGAACATTTACAAAAGAGATCAATCTTATTCATCAGTGTCGTGAGGCAAGAGAAACCACTGCAATTGTGAAACCCTGTATTGGACAACGGACGTTTTCGCATGGGTCGATTCAATTAGCCTCGAGAGAGGAGTACTGACCTATCGACCCTCCGCCATCCAGGATCAACTGGGCTGTATTTTGTAATAACAAACTTTAGTTTCTGGCTCATAGGTAAAAACACTTATCTGCATAAAGGAACTGATGTACTCTCGGATTTTTGTAGTTTCACCGTCAAATTTAAAAAAAAAAAAAAAAAAAAAAAAAAAAAAAAAAAAAAAAAACCCACAAGATTTAATGACACATGTTAATTTCAAATAAGAGTTAAAATGACGCTGATAATGGGACTTACCTTAAAAATATTATAATAAAGGAAGACCATAATGCAATCTCGGATTTTTATAGTTTCACCGTCAAATTTAAAAAAAAAAAAAAAAAACCCACAAGATTTAATGACACATATTAATTTCAAATAAGAGTTAAAAAGAGGCTGATGATGGGACTTACCTTAAAAATATTATAATAAAGGAAGACCATAATGCAACAGGGAATAAAAAAAGAAGTGAGCGAGGAGCCGATGATGAAATTGGAGTTGTAGAACATGCAGAGATCGGGTATCCGGTCGGGGGTGTTGTTGAGGCCGAGGACGATAGGACTCGCGATGGCCCCGCTGATCACCCACACCAGAACTATCGTCAACCACACACGCCGGTTGTTTTTGTGCTTCGCGTATTTAATAGGTTGAGTCACGGCTATATATCTGAAACACACGAGAAAAGCACCAAAATGTTAAAGTATCAGTCCATTCATTGAAAGTTTTAGCTTAGCGCTGTCTCCACTCGTCAAAATGGCGTCAAATGGAAGCTCAAAGTGAATCGATTTAAACGATAAGTGGCTCGAAGTCGGGACTAGATGCGATTGATGAGTGTTGCAACTCAAAATAGAGCGGCGCGACTCTTTTTTGATCAAGAATCGCGAACAGATCGTATTTATAGATTCATTTTGAGCTTCCATTTTGACCCCGTTTTGACGAGAGGACACAGGGCTCTTGAGTTCGAAGCTCGTTTTGACCATACAGCGTTGGAAAGATTAAATGCAAGGCTTGGAAGACAAGGCGCGTAAGTGCAGTTTTTTGCTAATTCGAGTAAACGTGTTTAAAGTTCCGAAATTGCATGGATCCTTACGGCGGAAAGCAAGTTCAAGCTGACTTTTCGATGCTTAAAAATTGAAATTTGGGAGCAAATTTTTCGCAAAATATGCATTCAGACTAGTGTTACTTAAAATCGTTGACGCCTCGATTTTTTTAGAACTTGCACTTATGCGCCATGTCCTCCCTTAAATTGTTTACCATAGAAAAATACCGATATTTAGAAGTTCCTAACTTGAAAAAAAAAACAGCTTCAGTTGACCTCCTTTTATTTTCTGACGCACAGTATCATCAGCATCACTCGATGTTAAAACATAATAATAAATAGATAGGTAATGGATGATACTATTTCGATCAGCTATAATTATTTTTTTTCAATCGAAGACTTCACAAAAGCCGCGAGATATCGACTCGCCAGAGCTGCCACGGACTCATGGTAAACTGTGGGGCCGGGAGCTGATTATTGGGATTGATAGACAAAGCGACAGACAAAGAAACGGGAAAAATGAGCGATCCTACTGGTGGAAGTGGGTGCGGTTGCAGTAAACAAAGGAAGTATGCAATAGACTAGCCATTGGCAACTCACAAGAGACCACAGAGTGAGTCCATAATTTTCTCCTTTGGTCTTTAACAACCGCCCGTTTCAACCATTAGAATCGCTCCATGGTTTCTTGTGTACAGCCAGCCGAGTATTAAAACTGATATACAAAGCGATAGACAAAGAAGACATAGGGAATATAGAGCGATCCTATTGGTTGACATGATTGGTTCTTACAGACTAAGGAAGAAAATGATGGACTAATTGTCAGGTTTCTCGTAGGTTGCCGTTAGTTAGTCCATTAGCTACCTCCTATGTCCATTGCCACCACCCGCTCCCACCAATAGGATCCCTCCAAATCCCTTTTGTCGTCTTTGTCTATAGCTTTGTCTATCAGTTTCAACAATCGGCCCGCTGCTTTGTACACAGCTTTGTCTATTAAGTTTAATAATCAGCCCGCAGCTCCACCTCCTCCTCATACAAAATCAAAGCCGTACTTCATGACGCGCTCAGCTTATCCATTCGTAAGTAAAACAGGATTTCGCGAAGCGCACTGCTTACACGTTGTACACATTGACGATGGTAGCAATAATGGAAAAACGGATCGGGTCGAGAGAAAAAGAGGGGCTGGCGAGTTGTTGATCTGATTTGAATCCACTTGTGTCGAGAGTGTAAAAGCGACATAATTCGATTCTTATTCCGTTTGTCTCGCTCCCCACAGCCCCGCGAGCGGGCACACACCAACACGCCGCACGGTGGATCGAGTCAATCAGAGAGGTCGGACAAGAAATTTTTTACAAAAACTACCAATTTTGATGGTTATTTCGTTACATTTTACATTACAAGGGGTACTATGAGAAGAAAATTTTACGAGAAAAGCAATGAAACCACTTGTAGAGCCTCAAAGTTTTGTATAAACGGAGTTATAAGCGTTTAAAGTGTACACAAATCTCGTCCGACCTCTTTTATTGACTCGATCCACTGTGCGCCGGCACTCGAGTTCCCGCTTATTTTAACACCCACACTTGACGTTTGAAACATTAGCACCACGCTTGCTCCCGCTTGCCGGATTTCAGTTCTTTGCTTAAGTATTTGAATCATACTCCGGGGGACGAGGAAAAAAATAAGAAAAAAAAAACTGCGGATTGATTATTGAACTGATATTGATTATAACTGCGTGCTTCAAAGCTGCATCAGTCTACTCCGATTTGATTTAATTGTGCTTGGACTTTTTTTTTGTCTCAAAATTTTCGTTGAGTACTACTTTGTGCTGTAAAATTCATCTCTTAATTTCGATTTTTTCGTTTTTCCTATGGCACTACGTTTACGATAAAGTTATTAGATAAATAGGATTAATGTGGTTACTGGAATGAGTTGAGGTCTTCTTTCATATTGTGCCTAAATTTATCGAGCTTTTTTTCGGGGGAAAAAGTACTCTTTTAACTATAAGATCGAGGCTAAAATCTCATCAAAGCAGCCCGATTTCCTATTTTGTTTCATTCTTTTCAACAAAAAGTCAAAAAAAATAATGCCTTGAGATTTTATGAAAGATTGCCCAAGATTCTGAAAAATACTTTCCAAAAATATCCAGCCAGAATATGGTTTTTTTTTTTTTTTTTTTTTTTTTTTTNTTTTTTTTTTTTTTTTTTTTTTTTTTTTACAAAAAATAAAACACGAGAGACAGTTTGGCAACGTTTGATGTAAATAAGACGATTTCAGATTACATCTGATTAGTTGTCGAAACAAAAACTGGCAATTAAGGTATCATTAGCGAAAACAAGAGTCATAGCATGTTTATGGTTCATGCTGAAATAGAAAAAAAATCACGTAACAGCTTGTAAAGAGCAGTAAATAGAAATATTATCGAATTGAAAACGTTTATTATAATTAATTTAAAACCTTTTCACAAGATAATTACTTAAAATTTATCGTGAATATCTTTCATAGGTGATCAGACGGAAATTGGCAAGAATCGTATGCTGACAGGATTCTTCATTGCAACGCGAGTCCACGGTGAGGCGCCTTCAATTACGCAAGACACTTCATGCGCTGCTCCAGAGTTAGTTTAATTGCTCAGTTGGGTTAGAACCTAGCCAGTCATTTCTTTTCAGAGTAATAATTGTAACTATGATTGTCACTCGATAGTGATGATTCACCGAAAGTTTCAAATCATTATGGGTGATACTGACGGCCCCTCCTTAACTAGCTTTGTTCCTAAGAGATAGAGAGATATTTATGATTATTGGAGGTTTACGGTGGCTTTTAACGTAGTATGTATTCATTAAAAAAAGGGCAATACATACGGAAATTGGTAGATTTGATCAATTCAACTTTGGAAGAAATCGTGTCAAAGAATTTGCCACTGCAAAAAAAGGAAAGCATGAGAGAAAGGATTTCATAATTTGGACCAATTTTAAAGTAGGCCCTTGTGGCCTACTTTAACATTTCCATAATCTGCATTCCATATGCTTTCGTATTATACATTTTTTGTTGTAGCAAATTAGCGCGATCCCTTCTGAGAACCTATTCCTCAAATCAAACTGTTAACTTTACTCAAGTTCTGTGAAATTGTGTTTCCTTTTAATGATGCTACGTTAAAAGTCCTCTTAAACCTCCCTTTAATTTCGATGCAAACTTTATAGGCCTAAGGAAGGAAGTTGTTCGACTATGAATTCAATCATTTTGTCAACTTTTTTCAGCGAAAAGACAAATCACGAGTAAAAACGAAACAGCGGAAGACGTATCTAGGCTGATTAAGTTTAGATCCGTCCACAGGGTTGATCGGCGATCAGTTTTCTAGCGGCGCAAAGTGGATCAAGTCAATGTGAGAGGTCGGACAAAATTTGGAAACTTTGAAAGCTTGTGGCTCCGTTCATACATAACTTTGAGGTTTTAAAAGTGGTTCCATTGGTTTCCTCGTGAATTTTTTTTTTTAAAATGCTCCCCTTAAAATTAAAAATTTGACAAATCAAACATCAAAATTTGCAGTTTTGGTTAAAGATTTCATGTCCGACTTCTCTGATTGACTCGATCCACCGTGCGGTGGCAACAAAGCACAGATGATAAGTCCTTGACTCATAAGTTATAATCAAAACGTGAGAAGGCAGAGTGTTTTAATGAAAAACAAACAGCGAATGAAATGCAAATATTTGAGTCGTGGCGCGTAGGGCGAGGGGGAAGGGGTGGAAGGACCCCCTTTCCCATTGCCACCAAGAGGCGTCGACACGAAGCACCACGCCACGCTGCGCCGCTCGGGATTTCCTTTCGGGTTGGTCACCTGGCCATCCTTTTCCCTTTCTCCTACTACTTATAGACTATACAGACTGTATAGACTCACCATCTCACTTTTTGCTATCACGAAATTGGGGTCTAGGTGTTTTGATTATCATAATTTCTTATATTTTTTTTTCTGGTCAAGGAGGGGATTGAAACCACCCCAAAACGTTCCAGGCTTTGTGTTTTGTTGTTTTTTGGCCTTGGTTACCTATTTTCTTGTGTTTTTTAGTTATTTGGCTATGTAGATTATATAACTGCTGCGCTGAAGAAGAACACGAACACCACATAAACATTGGATGTTGCTTTTCCCACGATAAGACATTTATTTTCAAGAAAAGTCCTAGGGTCAACCGAGGGAATTCATACTCAGGTTGCATTCTAAAAGGACCTAATAGAATGGGGCAAAAACCGGAGAGGAAAGGTTTTTGAAATTCACTGAATAATAGCACATTCTATCTTACACAAGGCCTATTTTTGGACCCTGCTGCGGCAACCTTGAAAAAGCATCACGCCGCAACTACTCGTTTTCCCAATACGCGCTTCAGCTTATTATGAAGAAGAGAATATATTCCACGCATGTATGTGGTAACAAGGTTCCACAAATATTTAATAATACATATTTACTACATATCCAGACTACGCGGGAGAAGTCTGGAGAAGAGCTGGACGCATTTAAATCAAAAGAAACTATAACTACTGTGACGTAAGCTTTGTCATGCATGTATATATTAACATAGATCTCAGGGCTAATATGAGAATGGATATGTTTCTCTGAATTTAAATAAGTCCATAGCTTACA